GGTGGGGCAGCAGGTGGAGGTGGACCCTATCACCACTACCATCAGGAGGAGAGTCGAGGTGCATCCTCCTCTCACGGTGGGAGCGCGCCGCGCAGCAGCCTGCCCCACCGCCAGAGCGGGAAGAGGAGGAAGAAAGGGAAAAAGAGGAGCCACCACTTGGGAGGTAGGGAGTGTGGGGCCTCCTTCCCCTGCTCTGAGCTGCTGCCGCTCAGCGGTTCCGAGGAGAGAATACTGAAGGACTTGAGTGAGGAGGAAGAGGAGGATGAAGATGAGGATGAAGACGATGAGGAAGAAGGAAAGCGCTACTACAGCGATGACTATGGGGAGGATGAGTTTTCATACTCGGAGCAGCCACCTGATGATGGTGGAGGCCCTGGGGGTTACAGCTCTGTTCGCTACAGTGAGTACGAGTGTTGCGAGCGCGTGGTGATCAACGTGTCAGGACTGCGCTTTGAGACCCAACTGAAGACATTAGCTCAGTTCCCGGAGACGTTGTTGGGTGACCCAGCGAAGCGAGGGAGATACTTCGATCCTCTCAGGAACGAGTACTTCTTTGACAGGAACCGACCCAGCTTTGATGCCATCCTGTACTACTACCAGAGTGGTGGTCGGCTGAAGAGGCCAGTCAATGTCCCCTTTGACATCTTCTCTGAGGAGGTGAAGTTCTACCAGCTTGGGGAAGAGGCCATGCTCAAGTTCAGGGAGGATGAAGGGTTTGTCAAAGAGGAAGAGGACAAAGTTTTGCCGGAGAATGAGTTTACGAGGCAGGTTTGGCTGCTGTTTGAGTACCCGGAGAGCTCCAGTCCAGCCAGAGGCATTGCCATTGTCTCTGTCTTGGTCATCCTGATCTCCATCGTCATCTTTTGTCTGGAGACTTTACCAGAGTTCAGAGATGACAAAGAATTCGTCATGTCCCTGAGCTTAGGGAAGGGGCTTTCCAACGAGTCTCTTCACCTGAATGCTGGGGAGCACACCATCTTCAATGACCCCTTTTTCATTGTAGAGACAGTGTGCATCATTTGGTTCTCCTTTGAGTTTACAGTGCGCTGCTTTGCATGTCCAAGCAAAGCACACTTCTTCAAGAACATCATGAACATCATAGACATTGTCTCCATCTTGCCTTACTTCATTACTCTGGGCACTGACTTGGCGCAGGAGCAGGGCAGCCAACAGGCCATGTCCTTTGCCATCCTGAGGATCATTCGTCTGGTCAGGGTGTTTCGCATCTTCAAGCTCTCCAGGCACTCCAAGGGTTTGCAGATCCTGGGTCATACGCTCAGGGCCAGCATGAGGGAACTTGGCCTCCTCATCTTTTTTCTTTTTATTGGAGTCATTTTGTTTTCCAGTGCTGTTTACTTTGCAGAAGCTGATGAGCCTGCCACCCATTTTCAAAGCATCCCAGATGCCTTTTGGTGGGCTGTGGTGACCATGACTACAGTTGGTTATGGGGACATGAAACCCATAACTGTGGGTGGGAAAATTGTTGGGTCCCTGTGTGCCATTGCGGGAGTGTTAACCATTGCTTTACCAGTGCCAGTGATTGTCTCCAATTTTAACTATTTCTACCATAGAGAAACTGAGAACGAAGAACAAACACAGATGATGCAAAATGCAGTCAGTTGTCCTTACCTCCCAACAAATTTACTGAAGAGATTTAGAAGCCCATCATCTTCCTCCACAGAGGATAAATCAGAGTATTTGGAGATGGAAGAAGGAGTTAAAGAATCTCTTTGTGTAAAGGAGAACAAAAGTCAGGACACGGGGAATAGCAGTGAGTCAGAGAAGAAAAACTGTGTAAATTCAAATTCTGTGGAAACTGATGTGTAATTTTGAACGTTTCCAAATATATTTATGCATTAAAGAGTGCAGTGAAAAAATGAAATATGCAAACAAGAGTCCGCAGCATACGGTAGTATGCCATTTAATGGTTAAATACAAATAAAAAGCATTGCTAAACATGTATTACATATCAAGTAAGTGGTATGACTTGAGGAAAGGATTGCTAGATCTGATACATTTTCAGACTTTATATTTTTATTAGAATGCAAGTGTTTTGCACAGGAGGCTGAAAGATTTGTGAAAAACCAAGTCAAAGTGGGTGCATGAACTGTCGACATCACTAATAACAGCTCTGTGGTAAAAGTTGGCATTCAGAGGTATTTACTATGTAAGAAACAATGAAGTTTGGTAGTCATTTATCTATTTATCAGTGCTTTAATAGCAGCTACCATAAATCATTGGATACCATAGTCATTGTTTTTCAAATGGTAAATTTATTGTAAAAAGATATTCTACAGAAGATAGATCTAAATTTTTTTTCTTGAAATCTATAATGCTTGTTTTTAACTGGAAATTTACTTTGAAAAGGCTGTTGACCCTCCAGAAATTGTTTATTTTTATAACTCTCTTTGGAGGCATTGCAGCATTTGTTGTCTAATAATGAAAGAAATGAAGTAAGAGAATCATTTAACCTGGTCTGACTGCAAAGGCAAAATGACTGGAATGCTTTTTTGCACTACTTTATATGCTGGAGATATATTGAAAGAGACTTCATACTGTGAATGTTTACTAATGTAATAGTTCAATGACAATCATTGGAAGAGTGAATTCTGCATCATATTTTATTGTTTCTTTTTTTTTTTCCTTTGTGATGCTGATGGCAAAACAGCTAACATTACATTAATTCCATCCTCTTTTTAATTATGAATATCTGTGATCTGGAAAAGGATTGTGAAGTAAAATTTTGTAATCAAAATTCTTTGAAATCGGTGTTTTCTACTGATGCCCTCAAGAAGTAACAACCTAATTTATCTCTTTTTCCTGCTTCATTTGACATTCAGGGTCTATGATTAGTACATGCACTTTGCCAGTATTGAAGCAGTTCAGTGTATGGGAGGAGAAGGTAGAAGTAATAAGATATTCAGTTGTTACAGTACTGACAGTTGAGAATTGCTGACTTTTAACGTGCTATTATTGGTGCTGCGTTTTCCCTGGATTACAGCTTTCACCCATGTATATTTGAAGCAACATTTAAGACCCAAAATAGGCATTCTGGTATTCAAAATGAATCTGTTGGGTCCCATGGAGTCCGTGTGAAAACATTCCATGGTTTCTTTCCACTGATTCTTAGGCCAGCTGTATTTCACCATGTGTCAAACCCCCAACTTCCATTGCCCTTCCTAGGAGACTAAGGTAGGTGAAGATTATCTGGCCTTCAATTTATTCCAGACTCCAGAATTGAAATAGGTAAGATATTGCTGCATGTAACATAAATAATAGATTCAGAACAAGTATTTTTTTTCAGACTTGCCATTACCTAGGGAAGGCACAATGAAACTGGATCTGTTTTTTGAAGAGGCACTGTGGAACATTCCAGATTATAAAACTTGAACCAAATTGGCATATGCACTTTAAGGCCCAGGACAGGCCATTCTGAAAGCAAAAAAAAAAAAGACTTACCAATGCTGCTGAATTATAGTAGTTTTGCAGTAATCTTTTAAAGCTGAGTAGAGGGTTCTTGCAGGGGAGAGAAGTAGCTAGTGACTGACCTACAGTTCTGGAACTGACAGGGGACAACAAAAGCTCTGAGCTGAGCACCCACGACATGATGCATAATCTATCAGATGAGTGTTGTTTGCTGTATGTGGCACCAAACAGAGTCCTAGACATTGGCTTCTCTTTAATGGTTGTTTTTTTTGCCTTTGTGGATTTTCTGTGAATCGCTTCTTCTAAAAGTTTCTCTGCTTGTCCACTTTTGCATTGCAGAAGAACTAATAAAAACCAAGACACACACGAAAGACTGTGTTGTGCTGAGCCCTGGTTCCAAATGTGTGTTTCAATGTCTTGATTCATAAAACAAAATCCTAGGGCAGGCTTCATGCTAGTTTGGATGTGAAGCATTAAGCAAAGCTCCTTTTTATTGCGGTGATATTAACTCCAACTGTGTTTGGAATGAAATGCATCAGTAATTTTATACACAGGCATTTGCCAAAAATATAATACTCTGTTTTATTGCAGCTCACCTAATACTAAATACTGTTTTCTGCAGGGGGAATATCAGCACTGAGGATGAGTATTCTGTAAAATCCAGTAAAAATCCAGAACTGAAAGTGTTTCTGTAACAGCTGGTAGTTAATGGCATAAAGGGCAGGAGAGTTCTCTTTATAAATTAGCTTGCCAGTAGTTCTGTATGATACCAGAGATGACAGAATAGCAGGGGCCATGGTAAGGATGTAGCAGTGAAAGAAATACAAACTAGGTAAATAAAGAACTTCGAGAAAATAAGTAGCATTTGCTTGCAGTATTGACTGGTTGACAGGGGAGGCGTTTCATAAGAGGTGGAATTTTAGCTTTCTAATGAAAGCAAGGAGGAAATTTCTTGGAATCACTTTTATAATATATTTACACTGTAGACGTGGAGCTCAGCATGAGGTGACTGCAGCAAGTGGTTCAGACATTCTGCTACCAGTACTCAGCATTTCAATTTCAAACAAGTGTGGCAGTGTCTGTTACACCGTGATCATAGCAGCTCTCAGAAGGAGAAGGTCTCACTCCAGGGCCTCGTAGCAGTTGGCAGAGCAATGCTGTGGGTGCATCAGCACTACAACCTGTGCAGGTATCTCCCGAGGCCACAGTGGGGTCTGCTCTGCCTCCTGCAGCCACTGAACCTCTGTACTTTGTCATTATAAGCAAGAGCTCCTATAGCTCAGTGCTAGGTTGTGCTGTCAGTTTGGTAGACCGTGCTGAATCCCAGAAAGGGTTGTGCATTGCAGAATGGAAGCAAATACCTTTACTTGGGCTTATCATTTTGCTATACAACTATCCATTGGTTCAGTCACAACACAGTTTTAAGATGCCAAAGTCCTACCACTAACATGCTAATACCCAAAGATCCCAAGTGCTTAACAAGAAGCAGAAATTTCTATTCAGTATTGCTTTGGTTGAAATTGTGTGCCAGAGAAACCCTCCAGTTGAGCTGTTATGCCTCCAAGTTGCTATTCCTGCTTCTGTCAGACCTTTTCCAGTGTTGGTGAATATTGACAACTCTCAGAAATATAATTTCATTGCCAGTTGGATATTTTGCATTTTTAAATGGTAGTGGTGAAGTGCATTCCTGATGTAGCTGATGTGAGTGGAGTTACACAGGGGATTGTTTTACTTCTACTAATGTAGTTCGAATGATTTCACACTGACACACATTTCAGCTAAAAATAATGCAAAATGAGATATTTCAGGTTCAGTTGCAGTGGTGAAAAAATTTGGAGGAGTTCCATTAGAATTCGTGGAATCACAGCAGCATCAAATCAAATTTCAAATGCAGTCTGATACTTAACTGTGTGCTGGCACTTACTGAAAGAAATTCCTTAGTAATCTGAAGTGCCAAGGCCAGACTCATGAAGAGAGAGCTTTGCCAGCTGAAGTGTTGGATTTAATGCCTGACTTCAGAGATCCATAAATTCTTTCTTTATTACATTTCTGATGCTACACTGATTCCTTGAAAATGTCAGCCTGGATGCTGAAACTTGTTTCAAAGGAAATGTTGGCTAACCCAGCCAGTGAGTTCTTGGTGAAGGTGTTTATTGGTCAGTTAAGATTCTTAGAATGAGTCCACAAGAGGCCAGTTCCATTCGATGGAAAGTGTGGTTTGTTTATTAGTATTTGCATAAATACATTTTCAAGTGTAGAATCCATTTCTGTGATGTGCATGTAACGCAGAATAGATTTGGGAGACCCAGGGATGAAAAGCCCCATTGCTATCATGGTTACATCTAATTCATGACAACAGTGCTCTTGGTGATTGGGGATACTAACCAGCATTCTTGTGGCTGTAAAATAATGGGATTTGAGTGTGTTTTCAGCCAGTAAAACTTTTAAAATAGCTTTGGAATGTGCAAATGATTTTGTCTGGTGTGTGAACAGTTTGGGATCAGGCCATAGCCTCAAATAAAGGATCTCATAGTGTAATTCCTAACATGGAAGGTTCCTGTCAAGTGCTGAGAGTCATCTGACTTGGGACCTGAAAATTCAGTGCTAAACTGCCCAAGAATATGAGATACTTCTCTTTGTATTTGGATAAATGTAGGATAAATGCATGATGGAAAACCAGCAAATAGCAGAGAGTCTATTCTGTAGGTAGTTAGTTCCTGAAAAGCTTTTCCTGCACAGCATTGAAAAAGGAAATGTGTCTTCCTGGTGATCCTGGACTTGTAAAACTAACTCTGAATAGCAATTAATTTTGGCACAAGCTTTAGATTTCATAGCTAATCCTCAAATGAAATATAACTTGTCCATGGTGCTTTAGACCATGTCACTGATTTCCTCTGTTTTCTACTGGTTCCTAGTTGCTTCTTTCTGTCACTGTACCCAGCTATAAATACAGACCTATTTTTCTTAAATTTTAATGAATTGACATGAGGCAGTAACAAATAAAAACAAATATTAGAAAAATTAAAATATTTTTGACAATCTATAGTACTCAGCCTACAAATTACATATTTTTCTTACCATTAAATAACTCTGACAGGGTAGCACCTGTAGACATGGGGCAGGGTAGGCAATTTGCTGATGCTGTAACTGAATGACCAAATGCTTTTGATTTTGCAGTGAATAAGATCTAGTTGATGGAGTTACCATCTTTGTGCACCTCTGGAACAAATGCTTGTAGAAAAATTGGCACTTTTGTAAAAATGAACATTCCTTTATTTCCACAGAGATCATCTAATGTGGGAAAAGTGACCAACAGATGAATTCAGGCTTGAAGGGCATAAAAGTTTTGTACCTGGCACCCAGGTCCTTTACATATCACTGTCTTGCTTTCTGTATTGTTCAGAATTCTGCTGACATTAATTCTGAAAGAAAACTCATTAAAGCTTTATCGACTGAGATGGTTGAATTAATTTCAGTTTTTAATCCTTTTCTGTAAGATTATAACGTGCCTTGAGACCTTTTTCTGCAACAGGTCCTGTGGAAAATAAATACTTAAGTACATAAGAAGGACAGAAGAGAAATCGTACATTGCATGTAAAAATCTGATAAAACATACTAATTGAGGGAAAGTAGGTAAGTAAAAACTTTATTTTTTTTTCCATTCACTTGTGCATTTCTGGTATTGACATTGAAAACAAATTGGGAGCAAATTGGTTGGAATGACCTGCAGCTACAGGAGAGGTACTTCATGTGTTGTTTCTTCCAGGGATGATTTGGGGGCAGGAGCAGCAGCTGAGTCAACTGGGAAGATGCTCATTGTGGGAGCATCAGAGTGGGGTGGGAGAGGGTTCTGGGAAGGTTTTAGCCCATCTGACAAATCCATGCTCCTGCCACAAGTATCCTGAGTGCAGAAGTTGTTAAATTATCAGTCCCTTTAGACAGGGAGGTCTCAAAGCCTCTGGGCTGCCAGTTCCTAAGCTGCAGAGGCACTCGGGTCTGCGTTGGCAAAATGTACTTTGCAATACCTGATGCTTGTTCATCTCCTTAGGAATTGGGTGGGAAAATGCTCCCTGAATCTGGGAGCAAGCCATTTGTTTAAGGCCAAGAGGAAGACTCTGGTGGAGCAGATTTCCCAAGTGTTGTAGTGATTCCCTGAGGAGTAAAGG